GGGGGGGGGGGGGGGGGGGGGTGAGGATTGTTGTCGCACTCTTGTATTGCAAGGTAGTCACTAAAATCGCTCTCGACACTTCATGTGTACTTCTAAAGCAAACACGAGAAATAAACGGTTTCAACCTTCAACACATGTATCAACTGAGTAGCAGTTAATAGTACTTGGGGTAAAGCCTCATCTGTGGAAAAGAGATGAATTTGTTTTGCTTCACTAGAAGACTGTTTCATTCCATCTTACGTCTCGCCGCATCTCCGCGAGTAGCGCGAGCGCGTCCCTCCACCGCTTCTCCTTGGCGCAGGCACTGATGGCGGCGCTGTACGTCACCACGTTCGCCTTCCCCCTCCTCCTAGCCTCCTCGTGGAGCTTGGCCACCTGCATCATACATCGATCGTGCGGGTGGTGCCCGAAATGTATCATTACATGTAGTCTTCTACTAATCTATTTACTTCCAAGTATTATATTGTGCATACCTAATCTACCCAGCACCTTCAGCTCCGGCGCGGACATGTTGCTGTTGTTGCTGTTAGTTTTCACATTAAAAACTGTCCGTTCTCTCTGCCCAGTACCTTCTTCTGTCGGTACTAGTCTAATACTTGACGCGGTCGATTCCCGTGGTCACAGGCCAACTTGCCCAAAAAAGGTATACCAAAGCAAAATGGACCCGAAGGGTCCGCAAGCCAATAGAAGTCAACGACAGATAGTCAATAGGGCCGAAGAATCGCGTGGCACCGATAGAACCGAGGAGGGGGGTCAGTGGTGCAGGTGGTGCCAGGAAAAAAGCGCCGGGGACATCGCGAGATAACACAGACAGCAAATCCAGTTCCTGTCAACTCTCTTTGAGCAGAGCGCGATGGCGTTGTAGTGCCCTTACGAAAACGAGGGCGATGGCCAACGAGCTCACCTTCTGCCAACTAGCGGAAGGCTTTGTCTCCGATGACGACGACGATGATGATGATGATGAGAAGGAGCTAGCCGACGAGATCGACTTGATGGCCGCGCTAAACGTCCTCTCGTTCGCGTCGACACCCTCCCTCGCCATCTCTTCCAGCAGAGACAAGCTAGCCTCCACCTGGACAAAGGAGGGTACACGGAGGAGTCAGGGACAAAAAAAGTACTACGACAAAAAAAGGTGGCAACACAGAGACAAGTTAGCCTACTCCTGGACAAAGGAGGGTACACGGAAGAGCCAGGGACAAAAAAGTGGTACCAATGGCGACAGCCATATCCACAAGAAAAAACACAACTCGGTGTTAACATTCCTGCTTGCAAAAGTACCCATCTCCCGGGTGCAATATTTGTGGGGGGTGTTATCTTGTGCTATCTTGTGGCCTACCCGAAAATCGACGCACATGCCAGCTCTGGTACGTCCAAAACGTTTCTTGTGTGTCTCTTTGACAATAGCCCCGACAACGCTAACCGTCTGACCAACGAAAACATGCCAGTCTCACCGCCGTTGAAAACAGGAAATGGGTCTTGCAGGCCATGGTCTGGGGACCCAGCGTGTGTGTGTCCTTTTTTATTAGCATCGACCGTACTAACCGGCTGACCAATGAAAGGCATCAGTCTCAGCTTTATATAGGGCACGATCTGGGACCTTGTGACCGAGCGCCATGGGAGAGTCTACGCTACTCTCCTTATCGAAGACCATAGCAATGACAGAAGAATACTGCTGTGCGTGTGTGCTTTCGTCAAAAAACATTGTCTCACCAGTCTATCCCTTTCGGAGTACATGCTCGACGTGTCTCAACCAACATGAAGATCAAAACAACGAACAACAACCAAAAAAGATCACGTCCAGGCATGCAGCTTGGGCCTACCTGTCCCGCCTTCTCGCAGGCGCTGACGAGAGCGGAGTACGTGATGACGTCCGGCCTCAATCCCCTCGCTCTCATGTCGTCCAGCAAAGCCACAGCCCTCTCCCACTCGCCGCAGCTACCTAGGACGTTGGCCAAGGAGTTGTATGTCCACAGGTCCGGCGTAAGCCCGGCCCTCTCCATCTGGTTGAATAGGCTAGGCACAGGGACAAAAAAAAAAGGGGGGGGGGGAGATTGGACGATCGGGGGAAAGACACACAGGGGGGAAAAAACAGCAGCGGAGACAGGTCGGTTGGTGGAAGAATAGATGCACAGGGAAACCAAAACGGCACAGAGAACAGGCCGACAGACAGACAGGTACAAGGGGAGAAAAAAACAACAACGCACGGTAGCAGGGCGTGAGGCGTGAGATCGGCAGAGAGAGGCACAGGTAGACAGCAAAAAAGAAGGTAGGCATGCCTATGGAGAGGAAGCAGGGGCACAGGTAGTCCAAGAATGTGCACCGCTTTGTACACGAAATGACGTGCGCAGTGGTACCGCCGTGTAACTACTGCTGTGCATCCGTTGGCAAGACACCACCAGTGGGAAACGGCAAGGATAACGAAAGGGGCGTGCTTGGTTGATGTACCCACCGACACACGGGGGAGGAAGGATTAACAACGATCGCCGCCGCCGCCGCCGCCGCCGCCGCAGCAGCAGCAGCAGCAGCAGTCAGCAACAGCAGCGGCAGCACCGTTACCACTGACCGCATGCGAAGCAAAATCACCACCGCACCTGAAGGCCGTCCAGTGGTCCGCCCCCGCTTCGCAGGCGGCGATGACGGTGTTGAAGGTAACGGTGTCGGCGGCTACCCCGTCGGCCTCCATAGCCTCCAGCAAGCCCACCTGACAGCAACACACACGAGTATTTGGCAAAAAAAATAGGGCACAGGCAAGGCCAATTGTATAACTGTCTTCCCAAGAGCACGACAAATCCATCTCTTCCACAGATAAGACTGTGGTAGGTACATTAGCAATGAATTCCTATTAATACGGTGCCAACTTCTATTTCTACGGTTCCACGAGCAGCATTCAGCGATCGATATCCCCCCTGTGGGTAACTGGCTTTTGCTTCTTCGTCGCGCCTCTTGAGTCGTGGTCTGGACATACTAGCTGCACTGTTTCGAGGCCTAATACAGACGAAACAGAAGAGCGTGAAACGGCCCCAATCTCACCGCCCCGTGCCATGCTTCCCACCAACGCACAAAAGGGGTTGCCGCCGAAAGAACAATCGCGACAGCGCCCACTGTACAACTGCTGTAATCTCATGTTCCACAAGACGAGCGAAACGGCAAACGAAACGGCACGAAACCCACCGCTCGTGTCCACTCTCCCGCCGACTTGCAGAGGGCCATGGCGGTGTTGTACGTCTGTACGTCCCGGGAGACCTCCCGTGCCCACATCTCCCTCAGCAGAAACATACCCTCCTCCAGCTGGCCCGCTCGCGCGCACGCCATTATTCCGGCGTTGAAGACCGCAGTCGTGACTGCGGTACTCTGCATAGACGGCACAGATTGAGAAGGGAAATCTTGGCGAGAGCGAATAGAAGGTAGGTCGAGACTTGCAGGCCAAAGAACGTGAAAAATCGCGCGCATGTTTAGCAGAAGCACAAGCCACCACCTCGAAGCCCTCACGCGATTTTCCTCGGCACTATACCGGGCAGTGGCACTATCCAACCGGCACTAATAGCGAGTGAGGGCCCTCGACTCGTATCATCGAGTAGTGCTTTGAACCGGCACATATCTTACCGCAGGAGGGGGTCCAACCCCCCCCCTCCTATGTGCCCCCGGTTGGGTCGCCTACCTAGTAGAAGTGGAGGATGGGGGCCAGAGGGGCAGACGACAGAATCCAATGATGGGAGAAAACAAAATAAAACAAAACAAAAATCTTACCGTCGACTCGTCGTTGTCGTCGAGAAGGGTTTCCAGGAGGTCGACGGCGTCACCCCAGCGTCCGACCCGCCCGTACGCGGAAATCGCCGCCGTCGCACTGAGCAAAGAGCAGGCGAGAAGGAAAACAACAACAAGAAAGGGGGGGTTGAGACGGAGGGTGTGGGGGCGTACTCATGTTTTGCACGCTAAAGTTGTTATACCATTCAAGTAACAAGGAGCAACACCTGCCATGCGCGCACGCATACACATCTCGCGGGAAACCTTTTTATTCCAATCCTAGAGTGCCGCCTTCTTTCCAATCGCGGCAGGCGTGTCCTGTCGTCTATACCAACGGGACGGGATGCCCGCCACAGCCGGCTAAACGCTGGTGTTGTGTACTTCCATGTGTCTACGCGCGGAAGAAAAAGTAGAAGTTCTGAAACTGTGGGCCTTGCACAGCGCGGGCACTACCACCACACACAAGAACCCACAGCAGCAGCAGCAGCAGCAACAACAACAAATAACAACAGCGGCAACCGCAACACGCACAAAAACACGACAAAAGCTCGCTCAACACTACTGCTTACCAACACCACCTACCTGTATTCGGTGTGTGTGACTCCACAGGCCTCCAGCTCGTCCGCGACGTTGGCAGCACCTTCCCAATCTTCGGATTTGGACAGTGAGGACAGTACCATTGCGGCGGCACGGCCGTTGCACTTCAGACCCTTTTCTAGGAGACTCCTGCAAGAAAAACAAGGACAAAAAAAAGGGGGGGGAACACAACAGGAGGAAAAAAACAATTAAGCGAAAAAAAAAAATCCACGTACAGTACCGCAAGCAAGAATGACAGGCTCAGATCACCATGACGTGAAAATGTAAGATCCTTTTCGCTGCGATCATTGGATCGCGTTCACTGCAGCACAGCACTAAAAATGAGATCGCCTACAATCCTCCTAGAACCGCTACACGTAAAACCTTTCCAATCACACTTTGAAGCCATTTCTGGAAGACCTTCAAACCACTCTCAACGTACTTCTGCACGACCTTGCGAACATCACTTCAAAGGTCACTTCTGTAAACCTTTTCAAACAACGCGTTCCAAAATATTTCTGCGAAAATACAGTAGGTGGCCCGATACAGTGGAAGTGCCGATAAAGTGGAATCAAGATCTCTTGTCACAATACATGTACATGAAACACGATATTTCGAATTCCTGAAAAGCGGCATATTCTCCTCTTGCCTCCACATGCCACTGTATCAGGCTACCTACTGTACAACACTCTTTGACGATATTTCTGCAAAAACCTTTCCGGTTAACACTTTCTTCAGGTTTCTCTGCCTCTCGCTCACCGTAGGACCGCAAGGGCAGCGGGCCCGCCGCTCTTCCCGGAGTCGGCGCAGGCAAACAGCACCGCCGTGTGCTCGTTCGCCCCCGGCTCCAGTCCCAGGCCGTCCAGCCGACGGAGCGCCAGCAGCGCCGCTAGACCCGGGGACGCTGAAAAAGCATCCCCTCTCACGTCGAAAACCGGGGACGGAATGACACCGTCTCCTGGTTCGGAGGCGTCGCCCGAGGACGGGGAGCCACCCGTGGTGGTGGTAGGTGAATTTGGACCGTATTTTTGTTCCGTGAGGGGCGGGGATGGAAGCGTGTCATGCCCGGGTTTCGATGATTTTCGGGGAGGGGTCGACGACGCCGTGGCTGCTTGGGCGCGGATGTACAACACCTACGGGAAGCGAGGAGAGCAGGCACGGAGGCGGGGGCGGCGGCGGCGGGTTGGAAGGCAAAACACAGAATCCCTGCATCAAGATTGAATCATGGCTCACCCGACATGAAAGAAAAAACTCATCAACGGGAACAGTAACACCAGCCGCAGGCGCAGCAACAACGGTAACAGCAACACAGTACCACCAGCAGCAGCAACAACAACAGAACAGCATCAGTAGCAGGGAGAAGCCGATCCAAGCTCCCACCATGAGCTGCATGCCTGGCACTGCTCCTGAATCGAGCAGTGAATCGAACAGCCTTGCGGCCCCGGTCCAGTCGCCGGCCTGAGACATAGCCTTCATCGCGTGCCCGGCCGCCGCACTGTGAGAAAACGAAAAATCAGCAACAAATCACAATATGCAATACAGGACATCAAGAAAAAGAACATAAAGAGGTGACGGGCAATCAACCACGGGGACCAAACCAAGGTTTGGCTTTGTTACCCCATACTCGACAACTTCAGCACCAACTTCGACAACAAAAACGAAGAAAAAGCGAATCTCACTTCAGAATCCAATCCGGATCTTGTGCTATCAACTGGTCTGCCGACACGGATGCCGGTTCAGCGCCCTCTCATGGGCCGATGAGAATGCGAGAACAACACTTCTGGGGTCAACATCACCATCACAACAATATCACCAACACCACCATTCACTACAATTACAGCAGTAGCAGATGGTCAAACTTCAGCCACCCTAGCCGATTTTTTTTCTATTCAGAAGACACAAAAATATGTAAACTTCATCGCCTGCATAGTCAAAAGCGTGAAAATCATCCCTGAAATTTGCATCACACTAAAATACAGCAGAAGCAGATGGCCGAATCTCAGCCACCTTAGCCGAAATTTTATCCTTTTCAGAAAACACAAAAAAATTATGTGAACTTACTTCATCACCTACATGCACGTAGTCAAAGCGTGAGATATTACAATCCCTGAAATTTGCATCACACCTGAGTGTGTCGTATGCGTCGTTGTCTTCGTCTTCCTCCCCACCGAGAAGGCCGTCCACCCTCGCCCCTTCCAGGACCCTGACGGCGTGCTTGACCTTGCCTGTGGCCATCATGGCAACAGCAGCCCCGCAAGCGGTCCAGGCTACGGCCGACTGCCTCGTCACGGCGTCGCGGTGCACGAGCGTCGCCCATCTGCCTCAACCGGAAAAAAATAAAAAAGTAGCGGATACGGTTTTGAGAGAGGTTACTTATATAGGACAACGTCGGATATAAGAGATTGTTCTTCGCTTGTCCCAGCCATGAGAAATACACATACGACACAGCAGTACGGAAAAACAGAAAACCGGATTCAAGACAGTGTTGTTGGCTTGTCCCAACATCCTCTTAAACCGGAGCCGCCACTGTAAGACGACAGGAGAATGCAATGCAAGGAAGAAAAAGAAGGCGCACGATAAAATAAATACTGGCACGGAGTACAGCCAATTCGCGAAGGTTTGCGTTTTTCTTCACAACCCAGCGGGTGGGTGCAAACGAAAGAGAGGCGAGCGAAACAAAAGAAGACACGACGATATAAGTGCGGCAAGCAACGGTGCGAAAGGAAGAGAGATGAAATCGTGGTGACGAATAGCAACCATGCAAAAAACACACAAACACACATTCGCGGCCATGGGGCCCAAGAGGGCAAAACAGCTATAATAAGAACGAACGAGAGCAGTCAACACGCACAAACTAGGAAAAAAAATACCGACACGTTTTAAGTAAAGGGGCTCAACAGAGCAACAACAATACCACCACCACCACCATCAGCACCAGCACACCGCTGCCAACACCACCACCGCCGCCACCAACAGCACCTGGAGCGGACCGGGAACATCAATTTCAACAATTGGTCACCTCCATGAGCGGGAGGCCAAGCACGCCCGCGCCACCGCCTCGTACACGGGAGCATTCGGCGCCAGCCCCCATAGCCCCATCTCGGCGTAGTGCTCGAGGCAACGCCGGGGTTCACCCCCCGCATCGGCGGCCATTATGAGAGTGGCGAAGGTGATGAAGTTGCGGGAGGCCGGGCGGCGTATTCCTGTGGCACGGGGGACGGGGTATGTAGGGGGGCTGGACCTTGAGAACGGAATGGAGCAACTTGACTCCTGCTTATAGCTTGTTGGGCTAGCCTGTGACCACGGGATTCCATGTACGTACGATGGGCTTTCGGCCCGCAAGAGCTTGCCAAACTCCTCAACCCCGAGGGATAGGCTACCGCACCCTCCTCAACACCATCTGCACGGCCTTCTGACGAAGACGCGCACCACATCAGACGAGAGAGTGAGGGAGAGGGA